CATGGCTAAATCAATTCAGAATTTCATACTGATGAGGAATATATATACTTTGAAGGGTGTGTGAAGCTTCCTTTTGGGCGTTACACATATTTTGGAAAAAAAGAAAATAGTATATAACATCTTACAGTGGTACATATAAAAATAGTGTTACTACAACGACTATAACGTGCAAGCTAAGGGTGGATATGTCATGAAATTTTGACACGTCATCGTTTGAAGCGTAGTCCTATCCAAAAATTATATGTGTCTATCAACAGTGATGGCGTATATTTGTCCGACAGGAGACTTATTCGAGTGATGTATTACACGTGTTTTCTCCTGTTATCGATGGGTATTTCTATGCATTCTTTAAGAAATCTAATGTACCCTTATAGTAGCGTATATATGACTAGCCTTATAAGAATGATCGCTTTTCGTTTTCAATAAATTTTTATTATAAGCAAGACATAGTTGAGAGAACAGTTTACTTTTTCATGTATAACTTTGTAGTTATTTATATTTTTTCTTGCGTTAAGAGAAAGAGATAAGCAATTAACAGTAATTATATAGTTTGAAAATGTTTACGTTCACAGCTACTCTCCAAATGCTTGAAAATTATTACAAAACCGTAGCAAATTTCAATACTAACCAACAAAAAAAAACGACAGCAACAAGAATAACAGAATATACTTATTGTAATGATAAATGAATGGGCAGAGATAAGAAGCTTCAATTCAGATTTTTATCGCACAAAAATCCCAAGCGGTAAAGAAAATAAACTATTTTAGCTTTTATGTGACTTGTATCTAAGAGAGATAGAAACGGCGGATGTGTTGGAATGTATGTATATTAATTGCATCTACACGAAAAGTATGAAAATGTGCAATTTTAATTTCAACTTCAAGAAATTCCCACTAAAAATCCCACATTTACGTTTGGGTATTAAAATGTGCACAAAAACTGAATGTTTTGTCCTATTTTTTTAGGATTGGGGGTCCTTAGACAAAAGCTGTGGATTCAATTTCGTTTTTACAAACGTCTTCGTGAGTCGCATCCTGAAAATAAAACGGCAGTATTTGGCAATAGCTGGCGTATTTAATAACAAGTCTTTAACCATTTATTATTTTTCATATAAAACCTTATATGTAAAACTATGTAAAGGCACATTTCGTAATCGATACTAGCTTGTAATAATAATAGGACACTACAAAACTGGGTAAGTGATTTCATCACATATTGTTAGCGTCCGTCTATAAACCGCTGTTAAAACTGAAATCTTTCTTCAGCGTCTTGTTTTTTTTTTCTATACGCACCCCCGAAGGATGATGGTGTGTACATATTGCCAAATATATTTTGCAGCACCCGGAAAGATACTTTAGAGACTGCTTAAATATATATGCTCCTGGCCGCAAAAATGAAAATATCGACTCTCCAGCATCGGCTGGTATTGAAAATGCACAAGTCGATCAAACGACTCGCACACATTACAACACACAAAAATTTTGCATCAAAAGCAAAAGCCCAATATTAGTCTTTTTTCTAGTTAAATAAAATTGATATCTGCTGCGAATATATAGAATAGTACAGAATTCAATTCACTCCAGAAACGAATTGCGTGTTTTCATGTTTTACGAAACGGAATCCTTGACAAGAACGCTAATTCTGCGTGAGTTGCCCATCGTTGTTGCTAAATTCTCTATCCGATTAAGAAATAAAGTACAATAGAAACACCACTGTTATAAGATATCGAAAACTCTTTCATTTATCAAAATATCTGCAACGTCTAGAATGAAGCTTCGCAGCCACTATACCTTACACACGTTCTTCATCAGTACCAAACCAGGCCTACAGTAAAAGATGAAATGACAAACCTTTGTTTTCAAAAATTAAAAAAGTGTTCGTTGCTCATTATTTGTAAACTGCAAAAATAACAATTTACATATTATTAAATGTTTGCACAAATTTTGATCAGCGACTTCTGAAAGTCACATTTTTTGGCCACTTTTTGCAAGAGCTGTACAGGACATACTGTTGCAGCTCGAACGAGAAGTTCTGCCACCCCCGGCGTACTCACTTGCTCAGATTAGTAAAGCATAGCTTGGCTGGCATATGGGTCCATAGAGTTGGAGAAGTGCGAAAATGGGTCGGTGGATGGATCGCTGCCAAACTAATACGAGTTCTTGCGACATGATATCGCCATGTTGCCAAAAATATTGTAAAATGTTGCAGAAAATGATGGAAAATATTTTGATTAATATACATTGCACCAATTTTCAATGATCAAAATTTTTACAAACGCCAAGCTATCTTACAACACCAGTACAGCTAGGCCAAACTCACCCAATATTGTAGAATATCGAAATCATTTTCTTAAATTTTTTAAAGCGCCTGGGTATAGAAGATTCGGCAGAAGGCGTATATAATTTTCTTGCTTGTTTTTCTTCTTGTAAGTTGCTATTTGTTTGCGGTGAGATTGACCTTTGCAAGTTTTAAAAACCCGCTAAGTCTACGACGGATTATCGCTGCTTCAATAACTACATAGACAGCACAATTCCACTTAAATACATGTGTAAGATAAATAAGTACAAGTCATGAAGAAATGTGTGTGTAATTGTGGAATTTTTGTTATAGTTCACAAGCACATTTGATGTACATACGAAGGAAACGCACATGAAAAAACTGTTGGCCACCAACAAGCACTGCTACATGTGCTTGTTTACATGACTGCTTAAAACCCTGAAACTAATTAAGTTTATATGTTTACAGACATTTTTACGTGTATAAGATATTGTATGCCGATTCTATAGATGTATATATAATTATATGTATCTGCGTATATAAGTACATGTGCATATATATTCTTATACACATACATACATATGTAAGTGTGTATGTGGGTATATACGTACGCATGCATGTATGTACAACAAAAAACCAGCAAATTCACATAGAATGTCCATTAAACTACTAAATGCACTTGGTATGCAAATTCCTCCCCCTTAGACAAGTTCTCTCTCCGTAAGTGTTTTATAATATTCTAGACATGGAATTTATTATTCTATCCATAAAAGCTTTGGAAATTATAAAAATAGATACAAATACGTCGTTAGCTCTGCGTTAGAGAACAACTACAGATAAATTGTCTACTTTATTCTTACGCTTATAACATGAAGAAAACAGTAAATCCTCAAACATTATAGTTTCTCTCTGCTGCCCGAAATTTCCATTTATTCCGCCAAAATGACCAAAGTTAGCACATATATATTTGTGTTATATATATTGTGCCTATCATGGAAGGATACAGATATACAACCTTTCTTATTTTATGTGTTTACCATTGTAACATCTTTAAACGTAGTTAAATTTGTATATTGTATCAATTTTCTATAATAAATGCTTTTTTCAAATGGAAATTTTTGTAAACACCTAATATTTAGTGAATTTTATTTAAAATTATTTTTTTAACAATTCTTTGTACTTCTTTATATGTAATAACTTACATTCATACGGTTTGGAAGTTTACGTATGAAGAATCGCAAAGCAATTCTACGGTATGGACCGTATGCTTTCTATACTCAAGCATGAAAGAGGTGCCGTCATGATTTGTGCGACTATATCGCGGTATTCATCTGGTCCTTATCTCGACGTCCTCAAAGGTCAAGTTCTTACTTTGACAGAAAGGACGCTTCAGACACGTTATAAATCATGATAAAATTTCGAATTGGTTAAACCATGTCTGTCCGTCTGTCCCTCTGTTTGTTATTGGCACTTCCTTACTCGCAAAAAAAAAGATATCAACTTCAAGTTTTGGTGGAAACATTGGAAGTTTTCGCACACAAGTTTGTATTAAAAATGGCTCAAATTGGTCGGAGCGAAATGAACGTAAACTGAACGCATCTCCTTTTTTCTTAACATAAATTTGCGAGGCTTTGCTCGTTATTTAGAAATTATAAAACTTAGCAGGCTGAAATTTTTCCCATTTACTTTATGAAACACTCTTCTCTTTACGTGGAAAAATAAAAAAAATCCGCCATGGCCACACAAGGTTACAAGTGATTAAATTTGATTTTTTTCACTTTTTTAATGCTCTTTATGTGCATTTATCATAAGGCAAACAATGCAGAATGTTTAAACCTATTTTGTATACAACTCAAATGAAGATGTACTATCTGCTTAAAAATGAGTTAATTTTAAAATGAAAGTGATAGATATCGCGACCTGGTGGATTAATTTTTTCTTAATAATACCAGCAATGGAGATTTCAAATTATTGCAATTGAGAGAAGAACGCAAAAAATATACTGGTGGGTATGCGAGATTCGGCACCCGGCGAATATAACTTTCTTACTTGTTGAATTTGTTGATATTATATAATTTTTTTGTCTACTGGAATAAGGTTTGGTATTTTTTTTTTTTTTTTTTGTATTTTAATATGTATTCCCTAGTAGTACAAAATACTAAAGAAAAATTTTATGTTTGGACAATGGACTAGGTTTAACAAGCGTTTACTTTTCGTAGAGCGAAAAAAGCCAATATTAATGGGACTCACTGTAGAAATGCCTGAAATGTCTATTGAAAGTTTCTATGCTACGATGGAAAGAAAGTTAAATAAAAACGCACTTCATTAGATTCAATAGAGTTCTTGTTTGACTTCAATACAGAGCCACAACTATGAAAACACATTTTGCTTTTTGAGTCTCTTCTTATGGTGATCGGTCACAACACTAGATTGCGACTGTAAAGTAAGCGAAAATGAATTTGTAGAATAATTCTTTCAATTCAAACATGAACTGGTGCATTGTCTAAAAAGAGAATTTTTCACCCCTAAATCGCTCCTTCAATTGCGAACATGAAAATGCCGCGGCTCAGAAAATCACGCTACGCTGCTCAAGAGAAACTCAGTTACAGAATACCTCATATTAGAAGCAAACAAGACAAATAAAATTAATAATATAATTCAAGATGTAATATAAAACTAAAGAATTATATACCATTGTAACGTAAATAGAAAATAATACATACTCAACTGTGGTGGCTTCTGCTTGCACACGCTTTCGGTAGTGCTTGTTTGTTGACGCAGGTGGAGTGGTAACAAACCCTATTACAGGCACAATGAATGCTCATATAAGTACACATAAATAACATTCATTTTTCTAAAAAAAAACAATGTCAAATAAAACGCGCACGAAAATGTATTATTTTTTGAACATAGAAACTAAGAAAATCTCTTGAACCACGGCAATTGTAAACTGAGGAATTGCTCTGCATATTAAATGTGACTTCGAACGTTCTCGTTCAGTCTCATTCGATTTATAACATTAAAAAAATTGATTTGCACGGAAGATATATAAAGAGGCATTTAACGGATAAGTGCCAATTAGCAGTAGTACACATCAATAAAAAACCAGAGAATTTAAATTGAATTTATTTTGTTAATCCGATTATTGTTATTAATCTTCTCAGTATAAACCAATATCACCTTGTTTTTAGACGATCTTAGATGACCACTCTATGACTTCTGTAATGATTTGTGATTAGTTGGAGATGGCATCTACTGCACCGTAAAAATTATTAATGACACTTTAATTTTCATTAGTGTGTTGGAGGAGTGTTACATTTAGAAACAATTGATTTGGACATGAAATTTATACCTGCACTTTCATAAAAATGTTACCACGATTTTGTACTATTTTCAATTTAAAATCTGTTTTTGAGCAAAGTTGAAATACGGGTTAACTGGGCGTGAGCAATAAGTGCGAACCAGCTTTCGTAGTGTCTAATTAACGTTATGTTAACCTGTTGTCTAACTATGATTTGGCCGAGAAAAATAATAAGTAAGAAGATTATAACCGGCTATAATCAAATCTTATGCAGCCATTCTTACAAAAACTTCCAAAAGATCGAAAAAATCAAGCTCCGATGCTCTATAATATTACATAGACATGGTTGATGTTTTTTGTTTTTATTTGTCACATTTGATCACTCATAAAAAAGTAGAAATTCCCAATGTCGATTATGAATAATGAGCAAAAAAATCCAAAAACCTCGGTTTATATTGCACTCCAGCTGTGACCTTTAACCAGTTCATTTTCATTAGCCACATATGTGGAAGAACTTCCAATACTACTCAGAAACCGATTTTAATCACAGCGACCGAGTGAATGCTTAGCAAAGACATTACGCGGAGGAACACGTTTAAATGGATTCAGAATTTGATATTAATTGAAAATATGTATATTTTGCATGGCCTCTGAGAAGGCGATTTCTGGGGGTTTTGTGTTGGCCCGTTGAAATCACGATTATAACCTTAAAACTTACGTCTGAGATGACGATATGTGATACATTTTAAGGCAATCACAGTATATGGATAAGCCGATTCTGTTATTTATGCTGAAGAAGAATATGACTGAGATTGAAAATTTCAATCGTCAAAAAGTGCCCGCCAAAATTTTACGCCATTTCTATTAATTAAAATTTATTGGTTGCAAGAGCGTTATTTGCAAAACATTGGAAAAATCCGTATGTCGATTAACCGTTGATTTTTTATTGAAAAAAATGGTGTCGTCGTTTTGCTGATTTTAAACGATTTCGTACGAATGTCAATGGTTCTGGTTCTTGAAAATCGGAGATACCAAATATAATGCGGAAAATAGCGAATTTTTTTCGAAGAAAACCTGGACATGACAAGACTGTTTTCCAAAAGTGCATCGAGTTTAATTCAAGCGAAAGAAATGCGTCAATGATTGGAATGGCAAAATCACCCGGCAGGGACATATATTTGGCGTTATTTGACGAAATCATTGCGAAAGGTGAAGCACTTTTCGAATTTTTGCGAATCGTCACAAAGGGAAATGCTACAAAAGCATTGTTTCACTCTTCAAAGATGAGGAATAAATCGAATTTGGTGAATAAAATCGAATTTGCAAAAATGTCTTTTTCTTACTACGCTCTTCCTGAGTCCCGATATGGTTTTCTATGTACTACAAACATTTGACAAACCTGAAATATATATGCGGAATTATAAATTCCTACTCAACTGGCTCTCGGGGTGGCGATTTCCTCGTCAGTTGCAAGGGATTAAAATTAAGCATTATCCATTTGTAGAAATATCTAATCTAAAAAAGCGTCGATTTAAAAAAAAAAATTTTAAAGACTAGATACGTTTTTTAGAAAATTACACTATAGCAAAGTAAATATGATACTATTCTACTTATTAAATCATCAAATTATAAATATGAACGAATACATAATATATAAAATCGCCATAACTTTTATCACCCACCGGAAATAATTTTCATTTTTTTCCCGAATAAATACGATCTTTTAAAAACTGCCAATAACAAACAGGTTTTAATGAGTATTTATCATATAGAATTTTTCAACAATGATCTCAATCAAACAAAGAAAAAACAAATAAATACGGTTACTTGAACATGGGAAGAAAGCAAGAACAACATATGACGCGAATATGGGTAGGAAAAATGCCAGCTGATTAAAAGCACACTTACAGAAAATACTAAAAGAAGAACGACGAAAAAAAAATTACAAGTAAAAACCTTATCATAAAGCCAAATGTTACATATAGATACATACAGGTACCTTCGGAAGAACGCGAGTTTCGAAGAACACGTATACCTTTGTCGAATTATACGATTTCCAAATTACACGACTTTCTACTAATTGTTTTGAAAACGACTATTGATATAAAACTATAATTTATATAATTTCACATTTTGGACAGAATTCCAATTTTGTAGTGTCGAACAACACGGCTTCAAAGGACACGAAGCCAATTAATTGTATTCCTCGCATGTTACCTGTATGCAGTAATTCTTCAACGCTATTATGAAACTATGCTGTTGTATGCAGCTTGTCTTGTTACGACTTGCAAAATTATTATGAAAAGTCTGTAAGGACTTGGCGTCAATGATGCTTTTGACAGTAACTATATACATCAAAAAGGAACAAGAACAACCAACCTATACCAAAAAGGAACAGCTATGGCCTTCTATGGCAAAATTCCAATTTCAGATTTACCTACTCAATAAAGACGTATTTATAAAAATATTCAGGGATACTTCGGCGCTTCATTACTCTTTTCGAATAAATTAAGGGTCAATCATCAAGAATTTTGGAGTCAGGACTAAAATATAATCAGGCCAAATTTGAGTTAACGTGCTAAGGTTAAAATGAAATATGTGCATATGTCCACATGTCCATATGACCATATTAATGTCGAGACTGAAAATAATCAAAAACGATGTAAAAATTTGTTCGCGTCGGTTTGTAATTATCTGACTAGGACATGTTGGCGTCAACCCTTGAAGTTATGCTTTAAAATATTGTCAATTAACGACGTATTCCTCGTTTGTTTATTAATGTACGAATTCTTTTGAATTGCATGAACCCATTAAACCAGTTACGTAATATAGATTCTATTTCTACGATAACTTATTGAATTTTGGCAAAAGAACAAAGTGTGTGAATGAATGTCTTTTATTTATCTCTCTCGCCCTCCTACCGCTACCCTTTATCCAAGAGATCTACTAATGCTTTGTCGACGCAGATCTGAAATTTTTTTTGTGTTATTTATATTTTTTACATCTTTTCTTAAATAATTTAATATTTTTTCTTGGGAAAACAGCTGATTATGGTATTGCGCAACCAAATGGTTGTTTATAAATTGAAAATAAACAGAGACGCAACCAAATGGTTGTTTATAAATTGAAAACAAACCGAGACGCAACCGAATAGTTGTATTTATAAATTGAAAAGAAACCGAGACGCAACCAAATCGTTGCATTGATAAATTGAAAATAAACCGAGACGAAACCAAATGGTTTTTTATAAATTGAAAATAAACAGAGACGCAACCAAAAGTCAGCTGATGTCAAGTCAAGTGGTTGTGCAAGTGTGCGTACTTGTATGGTTGTAAACGCGTATTTGTCTTGTTTTTTTTATGCATTTCTTATGCATATGTTATTATCGTCTACTTAAGTACAATTTTTATTTTGAAACAAACACACAAGGCGACTGACTCCAATTTGTGGGAAAATTCTGCAGTAGTATGCAGTAGTGTAGATACTTGAGAGAGTTGCAGCATAACACAGTACGACATGAAAATTAATGTGTCATAAAAATGAAAAAAGGGTTGTAAAACAAATTTCGACTTAATTAAAAATGAAGTGCTTTTATTTTTTTTTTTTTTGTTTACGTAAATGATGAAATATAAAATTGAGAAATTAATAATAACAGAAAATAAAAATTGAGGAAAAAAGACAAATAATTGCACTTAATGGATTATATGAATGATTCAACCAACTTTTGTTTTTTTCTTTCTTTTTATTAGATTACATTGTCCGTAATTACAGTTGTAGTGGTAAACAAAACTCAATATTTCTAATATAACTATTAATTTCAATTTACAAAAACCGTGGTTCTTTTTGTTAAATGCATAACATAATTGGAGGAACTCAATTTTGTATTATATTTTTTTATATTTATAATTATAATAGCGAATTATAATTACTAAACAAAAACTCTCCTTAGAGCAAATATAAATCTCTAAGTGTATATTTTTGCGTATAGAATTATAACTGTAGAGTTGGTTATATGCATAAGTGTAATAATTTTTATTTATAACTCTTTATATTCTGCTTTGTAGTCTCTTTTTTTTGATTTTCGACTATGCCACTAATGCCATCTCTTCTTATTGAGAGTACTGCTTTTTTCCACTCTCTATTTCACTCCCTCTCAATCTTTATAAAAAGTACAATGACACTGAATTGTATTAACTGGCTACAGATTGAGTTATTGCTAACTTTACACAATTTACACGCGTATAAATTTAAAACTGATACAAGCAAATCGTAAACTAACACATGTTTATTCGTACACCCTTAGGAAGTAGACAATTTTTTACTTATGAAAAACTTAATACATAAAAAACTAACATTTTATAGATACTTCTTCGCTAACCAATCATTAATATGAAAGGTATCTTTTTAAGTTTCATGAAGTTATCAACACATTCACAAGAACATCGCGTAATTGTGAAAATACATATTTTTTTTTATCTTATTTAGCTGCCAACAACACGTTATTGCCGCTGTTC